GGAAACATAACAATAGGTAAGCTAAAGGGTTGGTATGTTTTTGGAAGTTCTGCTATAATGCATGACTATTCTAAATATGATATCCCACCAGGTCAACGGTAAGTATCGTACCATACATAATAAGGTCCTGATCACCTGCAATGGTCCATACATAATAATAATGGTCCTGATCACCTGCAACTCCTATTTCCTTCAGTGGGAACTGATGGTTCTCAGCACCTTAGTGAATCAGGACCAGAGTAACAATAATATCCACAGACTCTAAAAAAAGGCACGTTGTAAACATTTATTTTGTTGTATAAAATCCCCAAAGCACCTATCCAGTAAGAAAGCACAGAGAGTAATTGAACAAAGCATGTAGTTAAAAGAGATTTTAATTGGTGCCATATTGCTAGTGGTAAGCAGCTCTCATGACATGGGCCCAATCCTGCAAAGCCTGTCAGGTGAGGAGTCCCACTGAATTCAATGGAACTGCTCCAGTGGCACCAATGCAGATATTTCTTAAGGAGGGGAAGCAAATTCCAGTCCCTGTCCCACCCCCACCTGGGACCCTGCTCTGGTCCCCACTCATTCTCTGGTCCTCTTCCTGCAGGGTCTCCCTTGGCTGGGGAGACTCTCCTCTCTTTTACTAACACAGTACATGAGCCAGTGGCACCAGGAGTTGAATTCTCAGACTTCTCTGCACTCCACCGTACAGGAACAGACTTATGGTACACGAGGGTGGGGGGAGAGCGGGAGAGGTCAAATTTCAGTGGCATTGCGACCGCACAGCTGAAGCGATGTTCCAGACCACTCTGCCAGCAGCTGTACTTATTTAGTATTGGACCACTGCTTAAAAGTGCTGTGCACCTCCCTCCCTGCTCTGCAGCCTATGGAACTTTAAACAAGTGCAAAACCCTTGGGGAGGGGGTGGAGCAGCATTTCCCTTCCCTTGGGGTGCAAGAGGGGTGAGGGCTCTGGCTGGGGGTGCAGGCTCTGGGATGGGGATGGGGCTGGGGATGCAGGGTTTGAAGTGCAGGAGGGAGCTCCAGGTTTTGGGGGGGTTCAGGGCTGGGGGTTGGGGTTAAGGCTCTGGGCGGGGGCTGGAGATGAGGGGTTTGAGGTGCAGGAGGGGGTTCCAGGTTTGGGGGGGGGGCTCAGAGCTGGGGAAGGGGATTGGGGTACCGGGTTGAGGCACGGGCTTACCTGCGGTGGCTCCCAGTCAGCGGTGCAGTGGGGATGCTAAGGCTGGCTTCCTGCCTGTCCTGGCAGTGCGAACTGTGCTGCGCCCCGGAAGCAGCCAGCAGCAGGTCCGACTTCTTGGGAGAGGCGCGCAGGCGTCTCTGTGCACTGCTCTCGCCTGCAGGCACTGCCTTCTCCAGCTCCCAATAGCCAGTGCTGACCGGAGTGCCAGGGTCCCTTTTCAACCGAGTGTTCTGAAAACCGGACACCTGGTTACCCTATTAATAATATAGTCGACATTGTCAAAAACTACCTCTGAAATTGGACCCACAGTTTTATACCTACAATTTACAAGTTTTATCCCATACAGGTACAAATAGAATCCAGATGCCCTATTAATAATATAGTCGACATTATCAAAAACTACCTCTGAAATTGGACCCACAGTTTTATCCCTACAATTTACAAGTTTTATCCCGTACAGGTACAAATAGAATCCAGATGCCGCATTACCTGATTGCTGCTGCAGATCCAGTATTTAGATATGTAGTTCAGAGATTTTCTCCAGTTGTACTGCATAGAGCACTGGTGGTCTGTGGAGAACATGCCAGCGTCCAGTAGAGAGCAGGTTATTGGCTTCCCTCCTAGTTTCCATCTGTTAAATTGCATTTAGAGACAGCTAAACTACATTCAGAACCTCAAAGATACGAATACCAGAGTTCTGGATTTACTAGTCAACCGGACACCCTCTGGAACCAGAAGTAATCAGGCAGCAGCGGAGACGCACACAGACACACAAAAAAGCAAATACTTTACTGCCTTGGGACTTTAGCCCTGGGGCTCAGGGCTTCAGCCTGGGGGTGGGGGTTAAGGCTGCAGCCACAGGGTGGGGGGGGGATCAGGGCTCTGGGCAGGGTGGGGGTCATGGCTTCTGACCCTTGGGATCACCAGGGCTCAGGTCTTTAGATCTGGAGGGGAGCACTGGGGCTTGGGGCTTCAGCCCTGTGGCTCCTTTCCTGGCTTCAGTCCCATGGGAGGTGCCAGGACTCAGGGCTTTAGCTATAAGGGGAGCGCTGATTTCAGCCCCAGCATTCCCCCTATAGCTAAAGCCCTGACCTCTAGCATGTCCCCTCCATCCCCCTGAAACTGGGAATGGAGCCATGGGGAGCCCCGAGCCCCGGCCTCCCCACGGAGGAAGCCAGGAACGGAGCCACAGGGCTGAAGCCCCGAACCCTGGCACCCCACCTCCCCCTGCCCATGAGGCTGAAACCAGGAGCAGAGCCACAGGGCTGAAGTCCCGAGCCCCAGCGCTACTTCCAGATCTAAAGACCTGAGCTCTAATGCTCCTGACGGTCAGAAGTCCGGACCGCCCCCTACCCAGAGCTCTGCCCCCCTTCCCCGCATGGCTGCAGTCCCAATGCCCCCTCCCCCAATGCCTGAAGTCCGTAAGGTCTTGTTTGGAGTTACGGACATTTCAGAGTTATGGACAACCTCCATTCCCGAGGTGTCCGAGGTGTCTGAGGTTCTACTGTATTACTTTTCTATGCGATAAATGGCTGTGGTTGCCACAGAAGAGATGCAATTGCAAATCGTAAAACATAGTCCATGCAATTGTGGTGCATGAAGTAGGTGATCGATGAGACAATCTCTATATTAACATGTGTTCCAAATCAAGTACTGATTTAAGAACTCTGTTTGCACCTCTGTGTAGTTCGCACTAAAAACAAAAACCCCACAGGCACAAATATTTGTGGGTGAAATTTTAGATCCAAGTTAGCACATAAGAACAGCCATACTAGGTCAGACCAATGATCCCTTTAGCCCAGCATCCTGCCTTCTGACAGTGGCCAGGGTCAGTTGCTTCAGAGAATGGGAAAGAACAGAACAAGGTAATTTGAATGATTCCTCTCGTCCAGTCCCAGCTTCTGGCAGGTTGAGGTTTAGGGAGCATGGGGTTTCGTCTCTGACCTTGCTTTTTAATCTCTCCATGTATAGAAGCTGTTCCATACCCTTAATCATTTTTGTTGCACTTCTCTACACCTTTTCCAATTCTAATATATCTTTTTTGAGATGGGTCAACCAGAACTGCACACAGTATTCCAGGTGTGGGAATACCATGGATTTATATAGTGGCATTATGATATTTTCTTCTTAGATATTTTTATTATCTATCCCTTTCATAATGGTTCCTAACGTTCTGTTAGTTTGACTGCTGCTGCACATTGAATGGATGTTTTCAGAGAACTATCCATGATGACTCCAAGATCTCTTTCTTGAGTGGTAACAGCTAATTTAGACTGCAACATTTTGTATGTATAGTTGGGCTTATTTTTTCCAAAGTGCATTATTTTTCAATTATCAGCACTTAATTTCATCTGCCATTTTGTCACCGTCATTCAGTTTAGGAGATCCCTCTGTAACTCTTCACAGTCAGCTATGGACTTAACTATATTGAATAATTTTGTATCATCTCCAAATTTTGCCACCTCACTATTCACCCCCTTTTCCAGGTCATTTATGAACATGCTAAATTTAACCTCCTTGTAGGATACCACAGTAGCATTTAACTTCAAAAAGGGGAACTACACAAAAATGAGGAGGCTAGTTAGATGAAATTAAAAAGAATAGTCACAAGAGTGAAATGCCTGCAAACTGCATGGAAGATTTAAAAAAAACCCACAATAGAGGTTCAAACTAAATGTACATTCTCTCTCCCCCCCCCCAAAAAAAAAACAGTAAGAAGACCTAAAATGCCACCATGGCTAAACAACAGAGTAAAAGATATGGTTAGAAACAGAAAGATATCTTTTAAAAATTTGAAGTAAAATTCTACTGAGGAAAATAGAAAGAAGCATAAATTCTGGCATGCCAGATTTATTGTAAAAGTATAATTAGGTAGGCTAAAAAAGACTTTGAAAAGCAACTAGCAAAACACACAAAACTAACAGCTAACATTTTTTAAGTACATCAGAAGTAGGAAGCCTGCCAAACAATCAGCGGGGCCACTGGATAATTGAGGTGCTAAAGGATCACTCAGGGAAGACAAGGCTATTGCAGAGAAGCGAAATGAATTATTTGCATTGGTCTTCACTGCAGAGGATGTGAGGGAAATTACTACACCTGAGCCTAGGGTGACCAGATGTCCCGATTTTATAGGGACAGTCCCGATTTTTGGGTCTTTTTCTTATATAGACTCCTATTATTACCCCTCACCCCCTGTCCTGATTTTTCACACTTGCTGTCTGGTCACCCTACCTGAGCCATTCTTTTTAGGTGACAAATCTAAGGAACTGTCCCAGTTTGAGGTGTCAATAGAGGAAGTTTTAGAACAAATAGATAAATTAAAGAGCAGTAAGTCACTAGGACCAGATGGTATTCATCCAAGAGTTCTGAAGGAACTCAAATATGAAATTGTAGAACGACTAACTGGTATGTAACCTATCGCTTATACCAGCCTCTGTACCATATGATTGGTGGGTAGCTGATTTTTTTTAAAAGGCTACTGAGGTGATCCTGGTAATTACAAGCTGGTAAGCCTAACTTCGGTACTAGGCAAATTGATTGAAACTATAGTAAAGAACAGAATTATCAGATACATAGATGAACACGATATGTTGAGGAAGAGTCAACATGGTTTGAATGAAAATCATGTTTCACCAATCTGTTAGACTTCTTTGAGGGGGGTCAACAAACATGTGAATAAGGGTGATCCAGTGGCTATATAGTGTACTTGGACTTGGTGTCCCAAAACACCTGACTTCTAGAATCTGGGACTGGGTGACAGGAACTGGATCACTCAATAAAGTGGCCTGTTTTGTTCACTCCCCTTTAAAGCATCTGGCACCGGCCACTGTC